ATCCATTTCCTCTAGGTTATCCCTTTTGCTGGAATATAGTTTTTCGTAGTATTCTCTTACAATCCGTTGTATTTCTGCGGAGTCTGTTGTTATTTCTCCTCTTTCATTTCTGATTTTGTTTATTTGAGCTTTTTCTCTTTTTTTCTTTGTAAGTCTGGCTAGGGGTTTGTCAATTTGATTTATCTTCTCAAAGAACCAGCTCTTTGTTTCATAGATCCTTTCTATTGCCTTTTTTGTTTCAATAGCATTTATTTCTGCTCTGATTTTTATTATTTCTCTCCTTCTGCTGACTTTTGGCTTTGTTCTTCTTTCTCTAATTCAGTTAGGTGTAGTTTAAGATTGCTGATTTGGGATTTTTCTTGTTTGTTAAGGTGTGCCTGTATTGCGAGGAATTTTCCTCTTAATACAGCTTTTGCTGCATCCCATATGAGGTGGTATGGCATGTTATCATTTTCATTTGTCTCCAGGTATTTTTTGATTTCTTCTTTAATTTCTTCAATGATCCACTGCTTGTTCAATAGCATATTGTTTAGTCTCCACATCCTTGTTCCTTTCTCAGCTTTTTTCTTGTAATTAATTTCTAGCTTTACAGCATTATGATCGGAGAAGATGCTTGTTATTATTTTAATTTTTTTAAATTTGTAGAGGCTTGCCTTGTTTCCCAACATATAGTTTATCCTTGAGAGTGTTCCATGCATGCTTGAGAAGAACATGTATTCTGCTGTTTTTGGATGGAGTGTTCTATATATGTCTATTAAGTCCAACTGTTTTAGCTTTTCATTTAGCTCCACTGTTTCTTTGTTGATTTTCTGTCTGGATGATCTGTCCATTGATGTGAGTGGGGTGTTGAGGTCCCCTACTATTATTGTGTTATTTTTGATATCTTCTTTTAGGTTTGTTAATAGTTGCTTTATGAACTTCGGTGCTCCTGTGTTGGGTGCATAGATATTTATAAGCATTATTTCTTCTTGATGAAGTGTCCCTTTGATCATTATATATTGGCCCTCTATGTCTCTCTTTACCTGCCTTATCTGGAAGTCTGTTTTGTCTGATATAAGTATTGCGACACCTGCTTTCTTTTGTTTGCTATTAGCTTGGAGTAGTGTCTTCCACCCCTTCACTCTGAGCCTGTGTTTGTCCTTGGAGCTGAGGTGTGTTTCCTGGAGGCAACAAATTGTTGGATCTTGTTCTTTAGTCCATTTTGCCACTCTGTGTCTTTTTATTGGATAGTTCAATCTGTTTGCATTGAGGGTGAGTATTGATGCATGTGGGCTTAATGCTGTCATTCTGTCGCTCGTTTTCCGGTTTTCCTGTGTTTCCTTTGTTTCTCGTCCTGTGTGTTTTAGCCTACCCATTGACTTCTGCAATTTCTTATGCTGGGTTTCTTAGATTTTTCCTTATTTATGTTTTGTGTCTCTGTTCTGTTTTTTAGTTTAGTGGCTACCCTGAAGTTTGTATTTAGAATCTCGTTATAACATAGTCCATTATCTGGTGGTCTCTTACTTCCTTAGCCTAGACTGTTTCAGTCCCTTTCCTCCTCCCCTCCTAAATTATTATTTTCATCTCTTATTCCAACTTGTGTTGTGAGTTTGTGGTTAGAGTGATAAGATTGTCTTTGCTTTGGCGATTTCCTTCCCTTTATTCTAATGCTATCGTTGAATATTTGCTATCGTATTCAGATTCTATCTATTTATCTCCCTACTCTGTGTTTTGTGACTCCTTTCTCCCTTTTTTTCTTTTTTCAGGTATGAGAGCCTTCTTGAGTAATTCTTGTAGTGGAGGTCGTGTGACTACGAAGTCCCTTAGCTTTGGTTTGTCTGGAAAAGATTTAATTTCTCCCTCATATCTGAAGGATATTTTTGCTGGATAGAGTATTCTTGGCTGAAGATTTTTATCCTTTAAAGTTTTGAATATGCCACTCCAATCTCTCCTAGTTTGTAAGGTTTCTGTTGAGAAATCCACTGAAAGTTTGATAGGGGTTCCTTTGTAGGTTATTTTCTTCTGCCTTGCTGCCCTGAGTATTCTTTCTTTGTCATTCATTTTTGACAATTTTACTACTATGTGCCTTGCAGTAGGTCTTTTTACATTGACAAATCTAGGAGATCTGAAAGTTTCCTCCACACACATTTCTCTCTCAATCCCTAGATTTGGGAAGTTCTCTTCTATTACTTCGTTCAGCACACTTTCTGCTCCATTTTCCTTTTCCATGCCCTCAGGAATTCCAATGATTCTTAAGTTGCATTTTCTCATTGAGTCAGCTATTTCTCTGAGATTTTCTTCAGTTTTTTTAATTCTTAGTTCTCTTTCTTCCTCTGTCTGGAGCCATTCAGCCTGTCTATCTTCAATTATGCTAATTTGCTCCTCTATGGTGTCTACATGTGCATTCAGGGAATCTGTATTCTGTTTTATCTGATCCATTGTATTTTTCATCTCTAGTATTTCTCATTGATTCTTCTTTATAATTTCAATCTCTTTTGTGAAGTAACTCCAGAACTCGTTGACTTGTTTTTCTATATTTCCCTTTACCTCATTGAATATTTTGAGGATAGCTATTTTGACCTCATCTTCACTTAGTTTACCCATTTCCAAGCCCTCAGGACCTATTTCTGTATTTTTACTGTTTTCCTTTTGTACTGGATCTTTTATAAATTACTGATTGGTAGAGGCGTGGTTTTTGTGCATGATGCTATTATTCGGCTGCAGTTACAGCCTGTCGCCACTAGATGGGGGTTGAGAGCCATGCGTTCTGAGCCCTCAGCCTTCAGCCAAGATGGCGGCGCCCAGCGCAGGTTGGAGGAGGAGGGGCACTTTCACTCACTCTGACCCATATTGAATCAGCTCTCACTTTCTGGTCTCCCGGGGCCCTGGCTTGCTGGGGTTCCCCCACGCGAAAGCTTTCCCCTGTTAGAGGGTTTCCCCTGCTCCAGAGATGGGAGTCCTGGACGATCCTGTGGATGCGCAGCCCCTCCCCGGCTCCTTCTGGCACCCGCAGCAGCGATCCCAGTCTCTACGGGTGGGAGCGAAGTTCTCTCCTACCCCATTCCAGCTCCTCCAAGGGCAGCTCCAGCCTCTCTGCCTTCCGTCCTTTGGCTGCTGTGGGTCTCTATTTCTGTTATTAGGATTTTTGTTTTTCGTTGGAAAGCAGTTGCTCTTTTTATTTGTAATTTGGAGGGGAGAGAGTCCTGGGTGAGCTCACGCTGCCATGTTGCTGACGTCACTGGAATGAGCCAAGTGTTTTGATCAAAATGAAGATTTTGATCAACATTAGAATTAAAAAAAACCAAAAACGAGCTGTTTGCACCCTGTGAAGTGTGTTAACTTAAAAAGCAAATTTGCCTGTTATTTTACCCTCAAAATGAGTTTTTTCAGAAATGGCCCAAAGAATTGCAATTCTGGCTGTGCATGCTGTGGCAAACCACAGGCAAATCCGGAAAGAAAGGAGGGGAGCTGCTTTTATAGAGAAAGAGGGGGGGTGGGGGAGGCTGTTCTAAAGGAAAGTCCACTGGGGGGAAGTGACAGTTCAGGGCAGCAACAGCTTCTCATAGGCTGAGCTGCGGTCTTTCTCATTGGCTGGGCTGTGGCGTTTCTCATTGGCTGAGCTGTGGGGTTTCTCATTGGCTGAGCTGCGGTCTTTCTCATTGGCTGGGCTGTGGCATTTCTCATTGGCTGAGCTGTGGGGTTTCTCATTGGCTGGGCTGTGGCGTTTCTCATTGGCTGGGCTGTGGGGCTTTTCACTGGCTGGGCTGTGGCGTTTCTCATTGGCTGAGCTGTGGGGTTTCTCACTGGCTGGGCTGTGGCATTTCTCATTGGCTGGGCTGTTGCCGGGTGGGGAGAGAAGTCTTCCTTCAGTAGTAAAGTAGTTGTACTTCCTGTCTGAGGGTAAGTCCCTCTCTTCCTGTTTGGTGTAATTGACCTGTGTGAGGGGGCTGAGAGGCCTTAGGCGGCTGCAGTTTAGTTAAGGTTTCTTTTGTTAATTTCTGTGGTGCAAACAGAATGCAGCCTCTGTCTCTCCCCTGCTCTGAAATGAACTGTTCTCCATCCCCAAATCCCTCAGTTTTTCTGGTCTAGTGCTCCCAGGTTTTAGGAATTCTGTTCCAGTCCACATTGAATTTCAATTGCTCATCCTACTTAGAGCCACTTCCTTCCTCTCCCTCGGCCCTTTCTCAGGCCAGGAAACACGGGGTGGGCTGGGGTGGGACAGCTGGTTGTGCATTGTTTTCCTAAGTTACCTCCTCTCTGCCTCTCTGTGCTGCCTGACTCTTCTGAAGTTGGGGAGGGGCTGGTCCATGGTTCTGTAGGTGAGCGTGCAGAAGGAAAGGTCTTACTTGGTGAACACCAGTGTACCCAGTTGTTGGTGCCCACTGGACACCGTCCAAATGCAGATCCCCAGGGGGAGCCTGCTAGCAAACACAAACACAGGTTCATTTACCCAACTCACAGCAAAAGCCAATCACCGAAACGTCAGGCTTGAGGCAAGGAAAGAGGTTTATGATCGAAAAGCAGCCAGATGAAGAGATGGGAGTTAAAACTCAGATCCACTTCCTCAAAGGGAAAAAGGGAGGCATTTTTATCTGGGGTTTTAGGTAGGGGTGGGGGAGCATGTGGCCTTGCTGGCTGGTGCCTTCAGCCTGTGTTTGGCCTTGAAGACTGAGTCTCTTTTTCTTTGACTGTCTGGACTTTTCTGTTTAGTTTTCATCCTCAGCCTGCATTTGGCCTTCTGAGGCTGAATCTCCTTTTTCTTGACCATCTGGACCTTGACTTCTTGGGAAAGAGAACTCAGACAGAAAGATCTGGTTAGTTTTAGCTGAGTATGCACAGCTGCAGTTAGCAAAGCTTATCTCAAATTTTTTCTCTAACCCAGAGATTTTAACTCATTCGTTCTCGGTTTCAAACCCTTTGGTGCCATGCAACTGGCCATGTCTCTCCCTCCCTCAGCATCTGTGTCCTCCAAATGCAGGAGACACAGGCCTGTTCCAATGCCCCATCCCTCCTCCCTGTAGGCACGGGCTCTCGGAGGCAGAGCTGAAGGACGTCCTGTCCTTGGATGACGAGGTCCTGCAGGCCGTGTACTGGGACTGGACCCCACCCAGCAAGGAGCTGCTGCGTTTCCCACCCCTGCTCTGGGTGAGGCTTCGTCGAGATCTGGGTAACTGCTTGGCCAGGCGGCCAGTGGATGGCTTCACGCTCCTGGCCATCGCCCATAGGTGGGTCCAGTGTGACGGTGACACTGTCTGGGTGGCTGAGAAAGAGGACTCACTGACTCGGCTGCTCCTTGTTCCAGATCCTTCTTCGCTCCTCATCCCCAGGAAATCAAGTCCACTTAGCATGGCATTCAAGGGTCTCTAGGCCACCAGCTCTAACACACTAACTTGTTTTTTAAGTTTAGGGTAAATTCACTTAACATAAAATTCATCATTTAAAGTGTACAATTCAGTGGTATTTAGTGCATTCACAGTGTTATGCAGCTGTCACCTCTAAATAGTTCCAAAACATTCCCGTCACCCCAAAAGTAAACCCCGTCCCCATGAGCAGTCCCTCCCCATGCCCCTGCCCCAGCCCCTGGCAACACTAACCTGCCTTCTGTCTCTGCGGATTTGCCCCTTGTAGACATTTCCTGTCAATGGGATCACGCACTGTGTGGCTTTTTGTGTCTGGCTTCTCTCACTCAGCGTGAGGTTTTCAGCTTCATCCACGTAGCGCGTGCCAGGGCTTCATTCCTTTTTATGGCCGAGTGACAGTCCACTGTGTGGAGGGACCGCTCTGTTGGCCCCTTTGTCGGCTGATGGCCGTTTGGGCTGCCCCACCTTTTTGCCGGTGTGAACAGCGCTGTGAGCACGTGTACAAGCTTTTCTTTGAGCACCTGTTCTTCCATTTTCTCGGGGATAGACCCGGGAGAGGAATTGCTGGGTCACACAGTAACCAATTTTGTGTTTAACTTATTGAGGAGCCAAAGGCTCTTTTTTAAAATAAATTTATTTAAGGAAAAAAAGGAAAGGTGGGCCCATGTGGAGATAAACGTTCGGTAAGAAGTAGTACAGGCGTGACCTGTACTGACCCAGTGAACGTCCTGAAGCCGCTTTAGATGGACCCACATTTAGTGGCTTAGGAAGGCCAGTGGCCGCCTCTGAGCTCGCCAGGTGCCCCAGGCCCACAGGCCATGTTGCCTCTCTGCAGACAGCTGGCCGAGGTGGTCCGAGAGCGCTACCTGTCCGGGCCCGAGAGAGCCAGGAGACACGGAGTCTTGGCGGACTTCTTCTCGGGGGCCTGGAGTCAGGGCACCAAGAAACTCATCACCCTGCCGCTCGTGGGGAAACCCTTGAACCTGGACCGCAAGGTGAGGTGTCTGGACCCCCGCTGCCCGCTGCAGCCTCCACCCTGCTCTGTGGGCAAGACCAAGGCCGCCTGGCCAGGACCACCCAGCTGCTTCCTGCCCTGTTTCCACTCCAACACCTTCCCGATTGCCTTCTCCTCCCCTCCCTTCCCCGGAGGGTCAGAGGTCCCCCAGCCCCCAAGCATAATTTAGGGGGTGGGAGCAGACAAGGAATGTACACCTTGCCCCCCAACTTTCCCAAGGGGAAAACACAGTCACCACGTTCCGAAGTGCATTCGAGCTGCCCCCAGCTCCTGGCGTCCGGGAGCTTCCTTTGCTGGGCTCCAACCCCTCCTGAGGCACATCAGCTTCCTCCCTGTTTGGGGGCATTTACCGTTTTTTCCTGTGCATTGCCTGGCTCAGTCCAGTTTCCAGTCACTGGTTTCCCAAATGCATCCCTCACTTTAAAAACAATGCTTCTTTTGTTTTCTAACTGGGAGAGTGGTGTGTGAGTGTCATGGAAACACAGAGGAAGAAACAGTAAAATAGAAACTGCCAGCAGTTCGCCCACATGGGAAGCCCCGCTCCCTCACCCCCTGCCCCAGCACTCATCACGCATTTCCTCCCAGTCTTTCTTCTCCTGCGCCTGGAGCTCCAAGACGCAGCATCCTTAGTGTGCGTGTGCTCCTGCTCCTTCGCTCCCTTGTGTTTGCCTCTCAAACACCTCAAGGCTCAGCTCAAATGCCTCTTCCTTCAGGAAGCCTTCCAGGGTTTCCTCCCTTTTCAATTACGCATTTGTTCTTTTCTCCATGTTCCCTTCACTCTGAGGTAGAACTAACATGTTTTTTTAAAAACTTTTAGTTTTGAAATCATTTTAGATGTGCAGAAGAGCTGCACATTGAGTGCAGAGTTCTCAGGGCGTTTCCCTCGGTTTCCCCCGATGTCAGCGTCTTCCACAGTGTAGCACAATGGTTACAGCGGGAATACACTGCTGAGTCTTTAGTTGTAGTTCCATTCTTCTTTTTTCTCTGTCTCCCCTGCTGGACTGGGGAGGCTGGAGGCAGAGCCAGGCCTGATTCTTACTCAGTGCTGCCCTTTCACCTCCTCAGTGCCTCAAAGACCTCTCCTGTGTGCTCAGAGCGCCCGCGACCTCAGCCTCATGCTCTCCCTCCGGGACGTGGTCTTTTCCCCTTCCTGGTCTTCTAGCGTCAGGACCTCCTGCCCCAGTCCCTCCTCCCCAGCAGTGCTTCTGACAATGCAGTCTGATCGTGCCTCTCCTCTAACACCTCCCCATGCCCTCTGCCTTCAGTCCAACTCCCCCAGCCTGATATTCAGTGCCTTCGTGATCCCTAGTCTCATTCCCACTGTGATCCCCCACTCTGCCTTGCAACTCAGTCCTCCCCAAACTCTTGTTCTGCTCTGTCCCACCTCTGGGCCTTTGCACATGCCATTCCCTTGCCTGGAATGCCATTGTTTCCTGACATTTTTTTTACCAGACAGACTCCTACTTATCCTCTGAGGCCCAGCCTCAAAGCCCCTTGGATTCCCTGAATCCTTAGTCCCTCCCTCTGCCCCAGCCCAGCCTGTGGAGGATGTGGGGCATCTCTGTCTGGAATTGTGTCCCCCGCCCCCCCGCCCAGCTCAGCTGGTGGCTGGCCTGGGTTTGTGGAGTGGGTGAAGGAGCTCGTGTCATAGCGGCCTGGCTGCCAGCCCCTTCCTCCTCTGCAGGCGGCCCCTCAGCCCCTGTGGTTCTCGGACACGATTGCGAACCTGCGGAAGCTGAAGGAGTTACCGCATCACCTGCTCCACGCAGGCCGCCTGGAGGAGCTGCAGCGGGAGGTGCTGGGTAAGGTCTGCCCCGCTCCTGGAGGGCGTCGAGCGGGCCCCCGACCCCCCGAGCTTGGCGAGGGCAAGAGAGGGATGTCGGGGTCCTGGGCACCTCTTGAGGCAGAGGTTCTCATCAGGGGCCCTTCTGCAAGTGCCCCCCACCCCAGGTGACACTTGGCAGTGTCTGGAGACACTTTGGTTGTCACGACCGGGGTGGGGGTGCTAGTGGCATCTGGGGTAGGTGATGGTGCAGGGGGTGGGAAGCCCAGCCTTAGAATGACAAAGGCCCCGTGTGTCTGTCTCAGTGTATTGTCTGTCCGTCCTCTCCATCTCTATTTATCCACTGTCTCTGTCTGTCTGTCTATCATCTTTCTATCATTTCTGTCTGTCTCTTTATCTACCATCTATATCTATCTATCATCCTTCTACCTATCTGTCCATCGATCGTCTATCTATCCATCTTTCCATCTATCATTTCGATTTCTCTCTGTCCACCATCTAAATCTATCTTTATATCTATTCAATCATCATCCATTTATCCATCCATCCATCTTTCTTTCTATCTATCCATCTATTTGTCTATCTACCATCTATATCTATCGATCCATATCATCTATCTACCCATTCACGCACCTTTCTGTCTGTCTGTCTCTGTCTATCCATCTATCCTTCTTTCTAAGACTTCTTTGTCATCTTTATATCTATGTATGCATGCGTCTATTTATGTACCCATCTGTCTATCCATCCATCTATCCATCCATCCATCTGTCCATCCATCTATTCATCCCTGTGATTCCCAACCGGCGGTGATTCTGCTCCCCAGGGGACACTGGCAATGTTTACCTTTCTGATTATCATGACTGGGGAGGATGCTACTGGCATTTAGTGGGGGGGGGACCCTGCTCAAGGCTGCAGTACACAGGACGGCGCCACCACAGAGGACGAGCGGGCCCCAGATGTCAGCAGAGCTGAGAGGGAGCACCGTGGGAGGAACGGAGTGGGGAACACTCTCTCCCGGGATGAACCGGAGGGAGGCGTGTGCTCCCCTCAGCCCCGCTTCTCCCCGCAGGCAGCATGAACTGGATCACCTGCAGAGCCGTCTCGGGGGGCATCGAGGCTCTGCTGGACGACTTTGACATGTGCGCCCCTCACCTGGACTGTCCCGAGCTGGGCCTGGTCCGGGAGGCCCTGCAGCTGTGCCGCCCGGCCCTGGAGCTCCGAGGCCTGGGTGAGTCAGGCCGGCCTGGCCGGGAGGGTCCACTCTGCACCGACTTCTAGAAGCCTCACTGAGCCACCAGCTGGGTTTTCATTAACACGCACACCTCTCCTGTCTACACCTATGGGGCTTCTCCTGCTCCAGCTTCTAGAATTTGAATGGACTCGGGAAAAGCTGCGGCGTGAAAACCACCGACAACTCAGCCCTTCGCCCCAGCCCAGCAGCCGTGTCTCGAAAGAGCCAGAGAGGAGATGTTTCAGGCAAAATTGAGGAAATGCTGCCGATACTTAATAAAACGAGGGAGAAGACCTCCCCACGGAGTTTTTATTGGTGGAATTCAGAATATAATGATAATGACTGAGCACAACTTCTTGGTGACTCAGGTTTGCCACTGAGGAGGGAGAGGGGAGTTCTTGTTCTGAGGGGAAACATTCTGCTTCCCTGGGTTCAGCGTCGCTGTTTCCGTCACCCCCTCGATTCTGCACACTGACCTGGAGAGTCCACTCTTAGCTCTCGGGGCAAGTGGGCGGGCTGGGCTGGGCCCCTCTGCCCAAGAGCTTGAAGATGCTCTGCCCAGGGTGGCGTTTTGTTTGTTTGGTTTTGGCTTTTAAAATTACGGTAAAATACACATAACATAAATTCACCATCTTAGCCATTTTTAAGTGTACAGTTCAGTGGCGTTAAATACATTCATGTTGGTGCACAGCCATCATCACCATCCATCCCCAGAACTCTTTCCTCATCTCAAACTGAAACTCTGTCCCCTGAAACACCAACTCCCCATCCCCTCCCCAGCCCCTGGCGCCCTCCATTCTGCTTCCTGTCTCTGTGAATCCCACGACTCTAGGGACCTCATATAAATGGAATCATGCAGCACTTGTCCTTTTGTGACTGGCTTATTCCACTTAGCATAACGTCCTCAAGGTTCGTCCATGTTGTAGCATGTGTCAGAATTTCCTTCCTTTATAAGGCTGCATAATATTCCACCATATGTATACACCACCTTTTGTTTATCCGCCATCCATCAGTGGACACTTGGGCTGTTTCTACCTTTTGGCTGTTGTGAATAGTAGTGCTGTGAACATGGCTTTTCAAGAGTCTGCTTTCAGTTGTTTTGGGGACGTGCTCAGAAGTAGAATTGCTGGATCACATGCTGATTCTATGTTTAATTGTTTGCAGAACCACCAGACTGTTTTGCACAGCACTTGCACCATTTCACATTCCCACCAGCAGTGTCCAGGTGTTCCAATTTCTCCACATCCTCGCCAACACTTATTTTCTGATTTTTAAAAAAATGATAGCCATTCTAATGTGTGTGAGGTGGCCAGGATGGTTTTATCATACAATTCCCACCTGGTTTTGATTTGAAGGTTTTTATAAGGGTTTTATAAAGATGCTTAAGTCCCTATATCCCTTCCGTGCTGCCCTCGGAGCTCAGGCAAATGCCACTCCTAGGATAAGCCCATCTGGCCACCCCTGGCTGGACACCCGCTGGCTCCCCCAGCCTCTGCATTTTTCAGCACTGCACCCTGTTCCATCCATCTTAACTCTTATTATTTGCGCTGGTTTTCCTTTGCATCACCTAGGCAGCCACCAAACTCTGAGCTCCGTGAGGGTAGGGGCGTCATTCACTTGCTCCTTGCCAATTTCCACCCCTACCACATGGACCAGTCCTGGCCAAGAGCGCAGATTTTGAGCCCCACCATGTTGACTCAGATCTGAGCTCTGCCACTTACTGGTAGTGTGACCTTGCAAGTCCCTTACCCCTCCCCCACCCTGCCTGGCAGTCCTCAGCTCTCCCGTCTGCAAAATGGGGACCCTAGTTTGCTTCCCACCTAGGGCTGCCGGGAAGGGTTTGCCAGTCAGTTCATGCCTGTCCTCCTGGTCCATCCGAGGGTCCTGTTCCTGTCGCGCGGCAGCATCAGTGCTGTTGACGTGAACGGCCTTGGACGAGCCATGCTGAGCCTCAGCTTCCGTCATCTGCAAAATGCGGGATTGAGCTAAAGCGTGCCTGGAATCCCACCCCAGGGGGAGATGCTGGCGCTTTTCTTGTACTTTTGTGCTCGCCAGGAGTTGTAAACCTCGCAGGGAGTGAGTTCCCAGGAGAGCGGCCTTGGGCACGACCGCCCAGCTTAAGAGAAGGTTTAAAAGCTCAAATCATGGCGTGTTGTTTGCAGCATCTCTCGGTTGACACCCAGGGGCTCGCCCAGGGCGCGGAGGTGCAGGAGCGTCTGTCACCACCAGAGGGCGCAGCGGAGGCCCGTGCCCCCCGGGCCGCCCCGGCCGCTCAGCGCGCGGACCCCTCCGTCTGCCTCGGCTCCGGAGCCGGCGCGGTGCCGTCTCTGACTCTGTTTTCGTTTAAAAGGCTGATATTTTGTTCATCATCGGTTTGGGGAGCATTAGTTTTGATTTTTAAAAACATCTCGATGGTTGAGCTGAGTGGCGCCACCTTAAATTGTGCACCTTCGGTGAGTGGAGCGCTTGCCCCTGGTCCCGGCCCTGCCCCATTTCACCCACCCGCAGACCAAGGCACAGGGAATTGCAGCCATCGCTCCAGGCCCCACAGTTAGGACGCGCCAACAACAAGGGCAAAACTCACTGCCCTCCTTCAGCATCCCTGGTCTTCACTCAGCATTAGAATCAAAGTTTTCAGGGCAGATTCCTGCCTCTTTCTGGCTGTGTGACCTTGTGCAAGTTGCTAAACCTCTCTGTGCCTCAATTTTCCCCTTTATAGACTTGGAATAATAATGATGATACCTCTGTGTGGTAGGCATAAAAAACGGCCCCTCCCCCCAATATATATTCACTTCCTAAAACCTGGAACCTGTGACTATTACCTTATATGGCAAAAGGTGTAATTATGTCAAGGATCTTGAGATGCAGAGTTTATCCTGGATTATCTAGGTGGGCCCGAAATGCATCACCTGTCCTTATAAGAGGGAAGCAGAGGGAGATTTGAAACAGAAAAGGAGAAAACACAGAGACCCACAGATGAGAAGGCCTTGTGAAGATGGAGACAGAGACTGGAATGATACGGGCACAAGCCAAGGACGCCTGGGCCCCTGAAGCTGGAAGAGGCCAGGAAGCGTCCTTCCCTAAGCCTTTGGAAGGAGGCGGGCCCGTGACACCTGGATTTCGGACGTCCCACCTCCAGAGCAGTGAGAGAATGAAGTCCTGTTGTTTGAAGCCCCCCAGGTGGTTTTGTTACAGCTGCCACAGGACTCTTACACACTCAGTGACTGTGACGTGGGGGAAATGATCGCTATTTCTCCAACGGAACTTGTTGGGTGTCTGTGATGTTCCAGGCACTAGGAACACAGCAGTGAACAAGACAGATGTCGTCCCTGTTCTCAGGAAACTCCGGGTCTGGGCTGGTGGGGAGAGGCTGGGCCGTGGAGTAAACACAGACAGAAATGTCAGATTGCAACTGTGATAAGACCTGAGCTGGCGGGGTGTGGGGATTGGAGGGTTGGGCTGGAGAATGCTTTTAGAGGAAGTGACCTTTGAGCTAAGATGAGGATGAGGAGATGATTGGCATGAGAAAGCGGACGGGGGCGGGGGGAGGAAGCATTCCAGGCAGAGGGAACAGCATGGGCAAAGGCTTTGAAGCTGGAAACTGCCCAGTGCACTGGGAGTTGGGGTGAGTGTCTTGGGAATGCAGAGGAGGCAGGAGAGGACCGCAGGGGAGGTTTGACCCAGGCAGCAGTGTTCCCCTCTTAACTGGTGCTCCCTCTTTTGCAGAGAAAAGCATCCTGTATACAGAACTCCTGGCCAGACTCCATTTCTTTGCTGCCTCGCATCCCGTACTCGTGGGACAGCTGTGCCAACAGGCCCAGAGCTGGTTCCGGGCGTGCCCACACCCTGTGCTGGTGCCCCTCCGGGGATTCCTCCAGCCCCCAGGAGGACCCCTCCGGGCGACCCTCACTGGCTGTCACAAAGGTGGGTCTCCTCAGCGTAGTGAGCATCTTGCCAGGCCTCTGCCTGCCTGGGGGCAGCAGATGGCGAGTGGTTCGGGCTACTCTCTGGGGCTCCCCTCTGCCAGTCGGGAGGCCCCAAGGGTGTCATCAGGGCCTGCTGCTGCCGTCTCATACTGACTCGGCTCTCTCCGTCCCCCAGGGACTCTAGATTACTAGTGTAAATACTGCTAATGAGCCCAGAGCCAGGGGGTGCCGACTGCCTCTGGGGTCTCGTCTCTCAGAGGTCAGTGCCCATCTTGCAGACAGTTTCTGCAATTTACAGGCTCATGCGGGTCAGTCCGGAAGCCTGGCTGGCCCCTGCGAGGCTGATGGAACTTGCAGATTTCCCCTTGAACACCAGAATGGCAGAGGGACAAGAGGATTTAGTTCTCTCCATTCATTTGTCATCCATCTTTCCATTCATCCATCCTTCCTTCCCTTCTTCATCTATCTATCCTTCCATCCATCCATCTTTCCACCAGTCATGCATCTATGCATCCTTCCTCCCTCCCTTCCTTCCGTCTATCCATCTGTCTGTCCTTTCATCCATCCATCCATCCATCCATCCACCCTTCCTCCCTCTCTTCCTTCCTTCCATCCATCTATCCAACCATCCATCCATCTACCATTCCTTCCTCCCTCCCTGCCTTCCATCTATCTATCCATCTGTCTGTCTTTCTATCCATCCATTCTTCCATCAGTCATCTATCCATCCGTCTATCTATCCTTCCTTCCTTCTATCCTTCCACCCATCAGTCCTCCATACTCCGTTAGTTATCCTTCTGTCCACTCCTCTGTTTACACCGTTTATCCTTCCATTTCCCTCATCTGGCCGTCTTCCATCCACTCACTTACCCCTCCACCCATCCGCGCACTCGGCCATTCATCAGCTCGCCCACTGATCTATCAATTGATTCATCCATCTGCCCATCTGATGCCTATTCATTCACTCACCCACTCATCCAACCAGCCATCTATTTATCTGCTTATCCGCCAATCCACTTCCACTCAGCCATCCTCTTATCTGCCCACCCACAATCGCCTGCATTAATCATGAGGCCACTGAATACAATAAACTTGTGGTTCAAATGTCAGTTATTGTGACTCAGGCAGTTTCTGGGCCACATGCCATTGTAGGGAAAGCTACACTCCCAAGTCACAGTGCTTCCCCAACAGAAATTCTAAGAGACACTAAGTATAATGCATGGAAGAACCGCTTCAGGGACAGCCACTCAAATGCTGTGCTGAGAAGGATTCTGAGACTGAATCTGGCTTAATGGGAAAGGGTGTATGTTGTTAGGATGCAGGTTCAGATGCTGTAATGCAGGCTGAAATAGCAGTGGTTTAAATAAAATGGAAGTTCATTTCTCTCTCATGTAACAGTCAAAGCATAAGCAGAGGTAGTATGGTGTGTCGACTTAAAAAGCAATTCACCAGTCAGTTTATCCTCAAAATGAGTTTATTCAGGGATAGCCCAAAGAATTGCAATTCAGGATGCGCATGCTGTGGTGAACCATAGACCATCTGGAGAACAACGGCGGGGAGCTCCTTTTATAGAGAAACTGGGAGAAAAGGGAGGGGCTGTTCTAAAGGAAAGTCCATTGGGGGAAAGAAGTTCAGGGTGGCAACGGCTTCTCATTGGCTGGGCTGTGGCATTTCTCATTGGCTGGGCTGTGGCGTTTCTCATTGGCTGGGCTGTGGCGTTTCTCATTGGCTGGGCTGTGGCATTTCTCATTGGCTGGGCTGTTGCCAGGTGGGGAAAGAAGTCTTCTTCAGTAGTCAAGTAGTTGTACTTCCTGTCTGAGGGTAAGTCCCTCTCTTCCTGTTTGGTGTAGCTGACAGTGTCTGAGAGGTGAGAGCACCCCCTGCAGGCCTTCCCGGCTCCAGTTTAGCTGAGGTTTCTCTTATTTATTTCAGTGTCTCCAGGGTGTCAGGGACCTAGACTGTCAATCTTGTTGGTCTGCCATTCTCAATGTAAGGCTTCCATTTAATGGCCCAAGATTGCTACTTGAGCTCTCACTGGCATTCCAGCCAGTGGGAATGGGGAAGTGGATGCACGCCCCTTCCCTTTCAGCAGATGTAGAAGCAGAACTTATCGCTTCTGCTCCTGTCTCATTGGCAAGAACTTGGCCACCTCCAACTGCAAGGGAGCCTAGGAAATATGGTCTTTGGGTGAACATGTACTCAACTAAAAGCCGTGGGCTCTGAGTTTTATTACTAAAGGAAGAATGATAGAATGGCTGTGGGGGGACAAATCACAGATAGTGCGGTGATTGATTAGTGATGTCTGCCATGGCATAGGCGGAGGAAGTTACAGTTCTGAGTCAAGTTTTTGTTTTTTGTTGTTTCTGGGGTAGGGAAATGTTTATATGTCAGACCCACTGTGCCAGCACTGGTCGTATTGAAGTTCAGAAAGCTTCAGTGTCTTCATTTTTAAAATGACAAGTTTGAGTTCACATTTCCAAGGTCAGACAGTGAGTGACAAAATAAAGCGGGGTGGGAGGGGAGAAAAGAAAAACAAATCCCATGTCCTCACTTCCTGTCCCAGTGAGGGACAAAGTCTTGGATTCTCAGACCTGGACTAGCTCTGATTTCAACACATCCCGCACCATTTTATGTATGGGGAAACTGAGGCACAGAGCGTGAAAGGACTTACCGGAGGGCATTCACAAAGTCTGGTCTCCAGAAAGCTGGGCCAGTGTTTCCTCCAGTGTAACTCGGTGCCTCTCTCCTCAGCGATGTTCCAGTCAGGATCCACCCGGCAGACAGCCTTGGGCTGTGTTTGCCCAAACTTGATTGGCAAATATTTCTTCTTTGGGGCCTGAGCCTTTATTTTTCCATGTGGGTCAAACAGCAAGAGAAGTCAAAGACAGTCCTCCTGCCCAGAAAACATAATTCCATTTCCGAGTCTTATCCAGCTGGGGCAGGGTGTCTCAGCCATGCACCACTGACCCTTGGGGTGCCATCATCCTCAATTGGGGGGCCGTCCTGGGCGCTGTAGGGTGTTGAGCGGCATCCCTGGCCTCCACTCACCAGATGCCAGGAGCATCCTGGTGCCCAGTTGTGACAACCCAAAATGTCTCCAGACATTGCTCAGTGTCCCCTGGGGAGCAGAGTCGCCCCTGGGTGAGAACTGCTGAACTAGGGGAGACGCTGATGATCGAGATGTGGCTTAGTCCCTAAGAGCAACACAAAAACTGCAGCCCGAGTCTGAATCTGGGGTCTGACAGCATCTGCTTTGAAATCCTGGCTCTGCTAATTTCTAGGTGTGTGGCTCTGGACCAGGGACTCAATCTGTCTGTGCCTCAGTTTCCCTGTCTGTGAAGTGGGGTACCACTGGAGGACCCCAGGGCTGAGCACTCAGACATGGGAGCTGATGTTGTCGCTGTCATCTCTTTGTGGTTGCAGGCATCACCGCCTTGGCGTGGAGCCCGGAAGAGAAGCTGCTGGTGGTCGGCACCCAGGATGGCATCGTGGCTGTGTGGGACATGGAGGAACAGCAGGTGATCCACTTCCTACCTGGACACAGAGGTGAGGCTCAGGAAGTGGGCTGTATGGTCACCTTCTTCCTAATGTTCCACAGCAAACAGTCGGTCCCCAGGGCCCCTTCACCACTGATTCACGTCTCTGTATCGAAGTGACACATCAGTTAGCTCCAACCGTGTAAGACAACAGCCCCAAACATAGTGGCTTTGAACAATAGCTGTTTATTTAGCCCACCTCCCGTGGGTCAGCAGTTCAGGCTGGGCTCAGCCGGGCAGCTCTTCTGGTGGCAGCTGGGCTTGCTCACTCGTCCGTGGTCAGTCCACAGCACATCTGGGAGCCGGCTGGTCCAGGATGCTCTCAACTGAGACAACTCAACTCGCTCCACGTGGGCTCTCATCCTCCAGCAGGGTAGCCCGGCCGAGGCAGGGTCTCTTCATGACCAAAACCAGCTTTGGAACTGGCACCCGGTCATGTTCCATTGGCCAAAGGAAGTCCAAAAACAGCACAGATCAATCGGTCGGGAAGTAGGCGCCATCTCTTGATGGGAGGAACAAAGTCACATTGCGAAAGGTATAGATCAGGGAGGGTAAAGAATTGTATCATTTATGAAATTTGTCTACCCCAGTCCCTCAGAGCCTAAGTAAGGTGTTCATTTCTGCAAGTCCCACCCCAGCTATGGTTCATTAGTTCGATCAATAGTTGAGTGACTGCTGTGTACCAGGCCCTGTTCTAGATGTTGAAGAGAGACAGACCAGGGCCGAGACTTGGATGAGGTGAGTGAGGCACATGTCTGGGGTACAAAATTAAAGAAACTCAGTCATCAAGATAAATAATATTTCAGGGCCAGCCCGGTGGCGCAGCGGTTAAGTTCGCACGTTCTGCTTTGGTGGCCCGGGATTCGCCAGTTTGGATCCCGGCTGCAGACATGACACCGCTTGGCACCCAGGCTGTGGTAGGCGTCCCACATATAAGGTAGAGGAAGATGGGCACGAATGTTAGCTCAGGGCCAGTCTTCCTCAGCAAAAAGAGGAGGATTGGTGGCAGATGTTAGCTAAGGGTTAATCTTCCTCAAAAAAAAAAAAAGATAATATTTCAATGCAATGTTTTAAAAAGTCAAAACATCAATGCGAAAAATGCACGATGAACAAATATCCACCTGCCTTAAAGACAGGATGAAGACTCGCGCTGTGCCCAGCCATAAGCCAGAAGCAAAAGGGGAACTCGGTAATTCGGTGCTGCCTTAAGTTTTGCACCCGGGGCTAATGCCTCACTCACCTCCCCCTCGTCCCACTCCAGTGAGACTCATGGGTTTGGGAAGCGAGCCGGACAGAACCAGAGTCACAAATTGTGATAAGTGAAGGAGGAAAACGGTGTCGTGAGCCACAGTGACCAGACTTCCGTGGCCGACCGAGGGCAGTTAGTGGAGGCCTTTCTCTGAGCAGGGACACTCAGCCCTGAGGCCGAGAGCGTGAAGGAAGAAGCTGGCAGAGGGCAGGCGGCTGGGAAGAGCATCCCGGATGCAGGAACAGCCAGTGCAAAGGCCTCGAGAGAGGGAAGGGGCTGGTGTGTTTGTGGAACAGTAAGGAAGCCGTGAGGCTGGGGCTCAGGACACTGTACCAAAGGAAAGAAGCCAGTCACAAAAGCCCACATCGTGTATGACTCACTGATGAGAACCGTCCAGAAAAGGCAAATCCGGAGAGACAGAGAGCAGATTAGTGGCTGCCAGTGGGAGAGGCGGGGATGGGAGCGGCTGCTAATGGGGACGGGATTTCCCTTTGGGGTGACAAAAATGTTCTGGAATCAGATAGAGGTGATGGCTGCACAGCATTGCGAATGTACTAGATGTCGCTGAATTACACACTTTAGAATGGGTTAAATGATAAGGAGAGAAAAGGGAAGGGAGTGACAGCTTTCTGAGGTTAAGAAACTATTCTAAACCGAGCCCGTGGTGAGGGTGGCGCAACTCTGGGAACAGACAAAGACCAGTGAATTGTACTGTTGTACACGAGTGGGTGAATTTTATGCTTGTGAATGACATCTCAATAAAAATGTTAAAAATATTCTATCATTGCAATCTAAGTATGTAGACTGTCTTATTTTTTCTCAACATTTCGCCATAAATATTCTTTAGTTTCTGTTGAATCTTTTCTAAACAACTTTATTGAGGTGTAATTTATATACCATTTCACCTGTTTTAAATGTTCGATTCAACGATTTTTAGTAAATTTGCCAAGTTGTGCAACCTGGCTGCAGAACATTCTGTACCTCAAAGAGGGCCCCCGCCCCTTTTTCAGTGCGTCTCCGTTCCCGCCCCAGCCACACGGCAACCAACTGATGTGCTTTCTGAGTCTGCAGCTTCCTGTTCTCCCGGGGATGGAGTTGTTGCCCTGTGGTCTTTGCATCCGGCTTCTTTCATCCGCGTGATCGGTCTGAGGTTCATCCGCGTTCTTGTGTGTCAGTGCCTAGTTCCTTTGTCAGTGGTTAGGAACTTTCTATCCTCCGTTGTGTGGAAGGACCTGAGTTTGTTTATCCACTCGTGGGCTGAAGGACAGTCACCTGCCATGTGAGTGTCAAATGCAATGTTATTTGAAGGACATTTACATTGTTTCCCGTTTGGGGCTATTGTGAATAACGCTGTTACGATCCACTGAATCTTCATCTTTATAATGTTGAAAGGCAGCAAAAATACTTCATTCTTCTTGATTCCTCTTCCAGAATTTATTTATTTAGGCTGTTTCTAGTTGTTTGCTGTCATGGATAACATAACACTGGGATGAATCTCTTTTTCTCTTACCAGTATTTTTCCTTCTGTCAAATATTTCCAGAGAGTGGAACTCTTGAGTTGGAGGGTATGAACGTTTCTCTGGGTTTTGAGAAGTATCCGCTTATTGTTTTCCAACCAGGCTGTAGCAGAATAAAACAGACCTCAGCCCCAAAGCTCTCAGCATTAAATGCCTTCACTTTCCTCTCTTTCCTGGGAGCGGGAGCGAGGCGGCTGCAGAGACACTTTCGCAGAGGTCTGTTCAGTATTTGAATTTTTGTGTGTGTGAGCTGTCTGTTCAAGACCTGAGCCCATTTACCAACAGTGACCTTGATTTGTTTCTTTAGAGTCATCAAGCTCTTATTATTTGTAATCAGAAAAACTCAGCGATCAATTTATTGAAAAGACTGAAAGCCTTATAGACGTTATAATTTGGAAAGTGAGTGTTCCTGATGGCTCAGTAGAGTGCTGGAGGTGGTTTGTACCGGCTTGTGGGAGCCCATGGTGAAATTTTCAGGAATGTTGTGAGCCAGCAAAAATAAAAATTGTCAAACGCAGCCATTATTACACATTAAATTACAGAAACTTGCAGTTGGATCAATTATATTGAAACAAGGTAATAAATACTCAAAACTGGTCACTTTCTAAGTATTTTACCGTACTCTACATCGTCTGTGTTCTTGGCCATGGTGTCGGGATGGGGGGATGGCGTGCCACTGAGCATCTCGCACTTTGAGTTCTCGTCAACGTCAGATCAAGCCACTTTACACAGTGGGCTGCAACTTGCTTTTGTCACAATATATTGTAACAATATCTTGTGGTGGTTGAGAGTTTGGGCTCTGGGTTCAAATCCTGGCTCCATTACTTATTGACCATGCAGCTTTGGAAAGCCACTGTACTCGGCCGTGCCCAGTTTCCGAATCCGTATAATAGGATAGTGACCGTACCTCGCAGGGTTGCACGCAGATCCCAGGAGTTTCAGGCACGTGCAGCACTTGCAGCCGGGCTCGGCACAGGGCAGCACTCGGCAAGCACCGGCTCTCATAAGAAGAATGATGATGATGGTCAAGTCGTTACATGGATGCATCCATCTTATTATTTTTAATGCCTGCATAATATTCTTTATATGGATGCACCTTATTATTTAACCAACTCCCTTTTCATAGACAGGTTGTTGGCAATTTTCTTTTTGCACAAACAATTCTGCACTTAAAGTCTTTCTACATCTTCACACACTTATGCTATGATTTCTGTGAGACACCTTCCTAGAAGTGGAGTTTCTGAGCCAAATGGTATGCGCTCTTTTTCCTTTTTTCCTCTTTTTCTTAGCTTTTTATTTTGAAATAATTATAGACTCACAAGAAGTTGCTAAAATAGTACAGAAATTTCTGTGTACCCTTTATCCAACTTCCCAGGATGGCAATGACTTAACTTTTAATAAATGTTACCAAATTACCCTTTTATAAATTCGTATCAATTTATACTCCCATCAGCGAGGTATGAGAGTAACTGAATTCTTCTGTCTTTGCCAGCAGTCCAGCAAAATGTTTGCCAATATGACGGGTAGTAATGGCACTGGTCCTTCATCTTGCATTTTTGTGATTACTGGTGAGGTTGAGCGTCATTTTCTAATGCTGATTGTCTACTTGGACTATTTCTGTAAATTTCCTGTTTATATTCTTTGGCCAATTTGTCAGTAGGTAGTTTGCATTTTTCCGGCTTATTTGTAAGAACTTTGTGTTTATTGAGGACAGCCTCCATTCATCTGTTATGTACTGCAGATATTTTCTCCCAATCTGTCATATGCCTTTCAATTACATTTTATCATCCTGAAGTTTTACAATTTTATGTAACCCACTTGGTCAGTTTTTCTCCTTTATATCTTCCAAATTTCGTGTTTTGCTTAGAAAATATCTGTCCAAGATTATACAATCTTCTTCTATAATTTTACCTTTTTTAAATATGTTTATTAATTTTAAATATTCCCTAGACGATGCTGACCTTTTATAAATTTCAGTGATCTCTCTTTATTTCAGATTCAACAACTGGGAAGTCAATTTAATTCCAACCAGTTATTTCACTCTTCATTTAGCTTTGCCACATCCCATTATTTGTAATTCGGATATGTTTGAATCCATCCATCTTTTCTTTGGCAAACCAGGGAATTTCCAAGCCAGCGGGCGTTGTGGTAGTCAGAAGGTCCAAGTGTCCCCCGCTAATGTCCCCTCCCCCGCCCGGCCCTGGCTGCAGGAGAGGTGAGGTGCCTGAAAGTGTTGGCCAAAGGGACGTGCGCCATCTCCGCCTCGAAGGACCACACGCTGCGCTTGTGGAATTTACTCTCCGGCCGGGAGAAATTCACCATTTGGGACAGAGGCTCAAAAGATCCCCCCGAACCTCAGATCTGCAGCCTGCACGCGGATGAGATAAAGAAGCTTGTGTATTTGGCGTCTGGCGCAAAGGTAACAAACACCTGTCCTGTTTGCAAAGGGAAGCTGCTATCAGAGCCTTCAAAGACGCACATGCTGTGGATATAAGGAGGGGCTGCCTGACGGGGGGGTGGTGAACAGAGGCGCACAGCCACCTGAGAAGGTGCTATCAGGTGCTTCTTACGTCACAGTTGGATTAGATGATCTGGATAGTACTTTCTCACCCTGGGATTTGAGACCTTTCGCCTTTTTCAATCTAGCCACTTTTAAACAGCACTTCCCTCCGAGCACTGCTGTACCTGCATCCCACACACTCTGACACGTTGTGTTATCGCTCCCATTCAGTTCCAAATTCTTTCACATTTCCCTTTTGATTTCTTCTTTGGTCCATGAGCTATTTAGAAGTGTGCTGTTCATTTTCAGATATTTGAGAAGGGCCCAGATAGCTTTCTGTTACTTTTTCTTCCTAATTCCCTTTATATCATGTGAATCCTTTCAAACGTGTGGAGACACGTTTTATGGTCTCTCTTGGTAAACGCTCCAGGTGCTTCTGAAAACAACACTTACTCTGCTGTGTTATTCCATTATGTCAATCCTATGGTTGTTTTGTGATCTGATTGTTTTATGAATAAACACACAGCACAGAATGATGGCTGAAAACTTAGTCACTAAAAACGCAGGCGAAAATCTGTATCTAAGTCCCAGTTGACTCCCTTGTGAGCTGAGTGATCTTGGTCATGTCGCCTCACCTCTCTGTTCTTTATCTACCTCATGAGACAATGACTATAAAACGCCCAGCAAAGCGCTTGCCTGGGGGTTATAGTTACAATTACAGTTATAGTTACAGCTCTCGTTATGGTAAGCACAAATAATTAGTAGTTATTAATTATTATATTTCACTAGTAATTGGTGGTTGTTAACATTAGTAATATTGGTAACTTATAAACTGTGCTGTCCACTACGGGGCGTCACCAGCTACATGTGGCTACTGAGCACTTGGAGTGTGGCTGTTCCAAATTGAGATGTGCCGTAAGGATAACACACCCTGGGCTGCAAAGACTTAGTGTCATAAAAACCATGCAAAAATCTTCCAATAATTATTTTATATTGATTACATGTTGAAATGGTAACATTTGGACATATCGAGTTAAATAAGATATATTATTGAAATTGATTTCACTTGTTTATTTTTCCCTTTTTAAGGTTGGCTAATAAAGAATTTAAAGTCATATGTGGCTTGCATTATGTTTTTATTGGACTGTGCAGGCTCAAATATTAGAGAGATGTTGATTGATTTCAAAACTGATTCTAGAAATCATCTTTGATATCAGCAAAAGTTTGGAAAATACAGTAAAGAAATAATAAATAATAATAAATAATCCCAAAGATAACCATTGTTAAGATTTACATGATTTTATTTTATGAGGTGTGTGTGTGTACGTGTGCAAGTGTGTGTGCATATGTATAAAACAAAACAGGGATAAAACCATACATGCAGTTTTATAAAGCTATTTCCATTTGCCCATAACCTTGACCATTCTTGCAAAGCAGCATGCTTGGTGATTTCGTGGGCTCCCAGGGCATGGCCCTGCTCTAGTTTATTTAACTAATCCCTTATTACTGACATCCAGGTTGTTTCGAGTGCTTTGCCCTTCCGAGTCACTGAGCTGGCCTTCCTTACACACATATCTTCGTGTGCACATCTCCTTATTTCTTTAGAGAAAGCCTAGACAGAACTAATGAGCTAACGTTTAGCGTTTAAGTGGTAACTGCTGAGAACAAGAGACCCTTTTTTTGGTGAGGCTAAACATGAAACTAGCTTTAATCGATAATCACTTGTCAGGAACACAGATGTGAGTGCACACGGCATAGCTGACTTTTTTTCTATGTTTAAGACTTTTTACTTTGGAGCAATTGTAGATTTATGGGAAAGTTTTAAAGATATTATAAAGAGTTCCTGTATGCCCTTGATCCAGCCTTCTCTAATGCCAGCATCTTTATAACCAGGGTACATTTGTCACAACTAAGACATTATTACTGAGAATTACTATCAACCTAATTCCAGACTCTAGTTGGATTTCCTCAGTTTTTCCACAAATGTCCTTTTGCCGTTCCAGGATCCAGCCTGGAATGCCTCCTCCCCTGCCTGTTCTTTGAACTGGCACCATGTTGAAAATAAAATACACGAACCATAAAAAAGAACAGGACTTGCGTTCGCCTCTGGGAAGCTCGCCGACTGACGTGCTCTCCCTTTTCCTCACCCTGTAGGTCAGTGCTTGGAATCTGGAAACTGCAGAGCTGGTTTTCCGCATCCTAGGAGATGCCTCCGACCCCTGGAAGTGCACGGCGGCGCTGGCTCCCCAGGCCGTGCTGCTGGCGGTGTCTGAGGCTGGCCTGGTCAGTCTGTGGAGCTCAGCCACGGGAAGACTGCAGAGGAAGCAACGTTTGTCCAGCATCAGAGAGGAGACGCCCACCTGTGGCGTCTTGGTCCAGAAACAGGGGAAGATGGTGACTGGCTTTAGCCAGGGCTCCCTCTCTTTGGTAAGCAGCCTCGCGGAACAGGATGTCAGCCGAACTGAGCTCAGAGGGGCTCAGACGTCCGAGAACTTGGGAGAAACCATCTCACCTTTGATCTTTTAATAAACGACACTGACTTCTTAATTCCAGGGCTTTGCAGTTCAGCGCAGTTCAGCAAACATTATTGATGTCTCCTGGGGGCTGGCCAATGTGGCCAGTTGTTGGCGCTCGGTCCTGTGGGGGTTGCTCTGGGAGCCAGTGTAGAACGTGCTTCAGAGGCGTCCCGCCAGAGGGGCCGGAGCTGGGTACTAGCCACCAGCTCCATCAGTGGTTGGGCGAGGGGCCGAGTGTGCTGGCGAGATGAAAGAGTGGAGTCCGAAATAAAGCAACCCGGGGGCGGAGTTGAAGGCTGCAGTAAGCGCTCTGCTCAGGACCAGGAGAGCGGTGAGGGGCTATGCATGGCCCAGCAACGGCGAGTTGTATAAGGAGTCGCAGGTGGAGAAACAAGGGCACCGCGCTGGGCACTGTGGGGCCGAAGAAGCACAAGAATCCACTGCAGCCTTGATGAACTCAACGTAGGGACGCGGACGGGCTCGCCAACAACTTACAGTCGCGCTTAGAGGAACAGAGTCTGTTTTCGGTAGAGGTGGAAGCAGGGTGTTCTAGGTGAGGAAGGAGCAGACGCTTCTGACAAAGGCAAGCTGGGGAGGCTCCTTCGAGGAGGCAGCCTTGGAACAAGAATGATTCCCAAGCTGGAAAGGGAAGACGCAGGGACCAGGGGTCGTGGTGGTGGCAGGTAGGAGCTGGCTGGCATTTTAGGGAAAAGAGATGCAGTGTGAAAACGGATCACAGAGGGTCCTGTATGTCCTACTGAGGAGGTGAGAGTTTGGGGAGGGGGAACTGCGGCCTCCCATATCATCCCAAAGCCCCACATTTCTGGGCCGCACGGCCTCTAGCCTCCCTGAGCCATCAAGGCGGAAGAGCACCCGAGCCTTTTCCGGGTCTCCTGGTGGGTTAGATTCCTCCCCGCCTTCTCGGATCACCTTCAGTAATATCCTGCCGCCTCGAAAGGAGCTTGGACTTGGTGACCAGACGCACTTGAGTTTGAGGACCCCACTCCCGCCTTTAATTTGTTGTATTCTTGGGCTGGCGCAGCCTCTTCTTTGAGCCTCAGTTTCCTCATTTGTAAAATAGAGGGAAAATGGCACCTACATCCAGAGCCAGGACAAAGGATGGACTGATGGGCACCGCTCAGGCCTCCAACAGTGGGGTTGGGGAGTGAGCTGGAATACGGTGCTAGTTAATGCGGATTTCTCCCTGTATGCCTGCTGTTGGCGCCCTGTCCCAAGCCCTCAGCTCTGCAGGGGCTAATCTTCTGTTCCGGAAAGCTGCTGCTGTGTTGGTCCCAAGCCTGCTGATGGTAGCGCCTTCGATTAGGAATGCCCACAGTCTCACCCAGGCTCCCGGCACGCAGAGGGAGCCCCACAGACATTTCCCCGACTGGGGTCCTTATGGCTGGGCCTGCTCTCGTGGTTCTTATGATGATGGCAGGACGCACTTCAGCAAACACCATCAGGGAACTTTGAGGAGCAAGGTTTACTGCTCACAGGTCCTGGAGGGCACACAGCACGCCCAAGGCCCACACAGCGAGGTTGTGGGTAGAGAGGGAGGGAGAGAGCACAGGCCTGGGGCTCTGCCTGTGTTAGGATCTATGAGTGAGGTGTCTGGGGTCCCCCAAGTTCACTCTTTATTGGAGAATTTAAAGCATAAGGATAAAGGAGAGCCCTGAGGGGACGTGATGGCAACAGTAAGTCATATAAGGAGTCGTAGGTGGAGAAGCGAGGGCACCACACCGGGCACCCTCAAGGAACTTGACGTGGCAGGGGAGATGGGCTCGTCAACCCTTGTGGAGGGAAAGTCTTGATAACTCAAAGCATTTGAAGACATTGATCAAATGAATTTAACTAAAGATGGAGCCCAGACCAGACCCAGCTGAAGTCCACGTTAAATGGCTTTGGTCCCCTCCACATGAGAAGCCCAATGGAAGGGTCATGTCTTGTTCTTGGGGTAGATGTTATTTATTTTGGGCTCTACTGTCCTTTTACATTCAAGGTCTCCTATGTCACAAAAATTATGACACACACGAAGAAGCAAGAAAATGGGACCATAATTAAGAGCAAAAACAATCAATAGAAACAGACACATGAATGACTCAAATGTTTAAATAATCATACAAGAACTTTAAAATATTTAAGATAAATAGTGGAAAAGGTGGATAATGTGTGAATAGATGAGGAATTTCAAAAATTTTAAATCAAAACTAGAAAAAAAAAGACCAAATAAAAATGCTAGAATCAAAAAAGACAATGTCAGAAATGAAGAAATCGTTTGATGGGTTTAAGAGCAGATTAGTCACAGCAGAGGAAGATCAGTGAATCAAAGACCGTGGAAATTATCCAAACATAAATATAAAGAAAAAAATAATGAGGGGAAAAGGAACAAAGCATCTGAGAATTGTGGGGCAACGCCAAGTGTTTAGACATTAGTTCTTTGGAGAACAGTTAGAGTCTCTGAAGGAGAGGAGAGAAAGAGAGAATATGGCAGAAGAAATATTTGAAGAGATAATAGTTGAGAATTTCCAAAATTTATGCAAGACATCAGCCCAAAGATCCAACAGCTCACAGAGCCTCAAGCAGGGTCAAAAGAAGAAAAACACATTTTGGCGATCATCATCAAACTGCTGAAAACCAAAGGTAAGGAGAAAAATCTCACAACCAGAGGCACTCACAGCTAGAATGTACAAGCATGTACTGGGGTGGGGTGGGTGGCTTTAGGAAGAAGAAGAAAAAAAGACAGAGAGAGAGAAATCTGAGAAGCAGCCAGAGGAAAAGTGACCCCTTACGGACAGTGGGTGTCCACGATGACTCCTCGTCAGAAACAATGGAGACAGACGACAGTGGAATGACATCTGTAACTTGAAAGAGAAAACAAAACCTGTAAAGCTAGACTTCTACACCCAGTGAAAATATCCTTCAAGATCTAAGGCAAAATAAGAACGTTTTCAGGCAAACAAAAGCTGAGAGAATTTGTCTCTGACAAATCTGCACTATAAGAAATGGTAGAAAGAAGTTCTTCAGGCTGAAGGGACGTGACACCAGACAGAAGCCCAAACAATGAAGGCAGAGCACCAGAAAAGGCAGCTGGAAGAGAAAGCTCAGCTTAAGGCGTATGTGTCCCAGGAAAGTCGGGGCAAAGGGAGGGAAACTGGACGAGCTGGTTCCCGAAGACTCTGGGACTGATGGGTCCCAGGAAAAGCAGTCTCCTTGCGCCAGAGTTCCTGAGTGGCACCCAACCATCTCTCCTCGTCCAAGCTTGCCCTGAAATATTCAAGTCCAAGCAGAACTCAAGATGCAGAGCTGTTAGATCTGCCCACTGTGAGAGGAAGACCATGCACATGTCAACTGAGGGTCTGGCATTGAAATAACGGGAGACTTACAGGAAGAATTTTAAAAATGTAAGTAGGGGGGTCAGCCTGGTGGTGTAGTAGTTAAGTCTGCATGTTCTTCTTCAGCGGCCCGGGTTTGTGGGTTCAGATCCCTGGCACAGACCTACACGCCACTCATCAAGCCATGCTGTGGTGGCGTGCTGCATATAAAATAGAGGAGGATGGGCACAGATGTTAGCCCAGTGGCGATCTTCCTCAAGCAAAAAGAGGAATATTGGAATAGATGTTTGCTCAGGGCCAATCTTCCTCACCAAAAAAAAAAAAAAAGTAACTAAGACCCCATCCCACTCTAGTAGAAATACATACACACACACGCACACCTCTTGTGAGCACAACTGTAAGGTTGCATGTGCCAGCTGCAAGGGGCAACTCCAGGTGGCGGCACTAACTCTGAGCCCAGAGAGCCAACTGTGACCTGCCTCTGACCACTGCAATTCACTGAAACTTTGAAACTGATTTATGCATGAAGCGGTGCTTTTACCAGGAATAGGAGCCTTATTTTATTACCTAATGTTGATTTTTTATAAACCTCCCAAGAATTATCAGGTTCAACAAAGTGCATGGAAGGGAGCTCTTATTTTGAACATAAAAGTGTATATTTTTATGAAAAGAAAATCTATTTCTCGGGCACCGTTTTACCTTCTCCTGGGGATATAAGTTGAGGAAGGCCTGGAGGAAGCAGTCTCGAGTGTCCACCCAGATTTAAAGGGCACCTTCCCATGGAACCCAGCATTCTGCTTCCAGAAACCTGTGCAGACACTTGCACACGTGCACACAGAGGTAAGCGCAGTGTGGCCAGGTTTTATGTGAATTTGACTTAGGTAAACTGAAATAAGATGATAAAAGTATTGTCTCATTTTACATGCAAATGTGAAATCGAGAAAATGCAAAAATGTTTTAAGGTGTGTTCAGCATCTCGTGGATGGTGGACTGTGTCTACGCTGGTGTCAGTGGCAGCGGCACTGTAGCTGGTGGGACCCACTGTCCTTTATGGTCCTGGGGGAAAATCCATCTCAAATTCGGCATGTTTGTGTTATCCAAGATCTTCAGGCATTTATTCCTCACTTAAAAAGAGACCAGCCGAGGTGATGGTATTTCTTGCAGCGCCCTAGGTAAGAAGAAAACATTGGCAGGATCTCAAATGTCCGTCCATGGGCGCGCGGTCCAGCGGGAGTTCTGTACTGTGGGACATGACGCAGCCGTCACGAGTCTGGAGCAGCAGCCGGCAGATCTGGCTCGCTGCCTGTTTTGGTACGGCCCACAAGCTGAGAGTGGTTTTACGATTTTAAATGGTTGAAAAAAACTAAAAATAAGAATAACATCTTGTGAAATGTGAAAATTCTATGGAATCCAAATTTCAGTGTCCATAAATGAAGTTTATTGGCACACAACCACACTCATTTGTTTACATACTATCTATGGCTGCATTTGTGCGCTAACGGCAAAGTTGAGACCATATGGTCACAAAGCTGAAAATAAAATAACAGCCTACCTGGCCCATTCTAGGAAAAGTTTTCCGACCCCTGTGCTAGAGGTGTTTTCATGGAAATAACAATTTTCATATAGCACTTACTGTGTACTAAGCGCTATTCCAGGGACTTTCTATCTGTTAACTTATTTAACCCACAAGGCAATGCTAAAATGTAGCTTCTGCCACCATTTCTATATTATGGGTAGGTAAACTGAGGCACAGAGAGGTGAAGTCATTTGTCTAAGGTCACACAGCTGAGGAGTGTCACAGATGGGATTGGAACTCAAGCAGTCTGGCTGTAGGACCCATGCTCTAAACGGCTACTGGGCCAACATTGGGGGCCGGGTCCTTCTCCGCTGTGGGGGGCTGTCCTGTGCGCTGTAGGATGTTTAGCAGCATCCCTGGCTTCCATCCACTTGATGCAGAGTATCTCCCCAATCTTAACAACCAAAACCGTCTCTAGACGCCACCCAGTGTTCTCTGGGGGCAAAAGCACCCTCTGCTTGAGAACCACTGCCCCAGACACATTACGTGAAAAAAGTAACTCGCAGAGCAACATCTCTCATGGATTACGCAAAAAAGGATGCTCGTGTAAATGTCCGTCGATGCAAACGGATGCTCCGCAAACGCAGACGACCCTTCCTTGTGGGAAGAAGGAAGAACGGCAGAGAAGGTGAAAAGACGGTCGTGGCGGGTTCTGGATATTTCTTTTCTTCTTCTTTTTAATCATATACAGTATTATTTAATTTTTTAAGTTTTAAAAGAATCACGTTTTTAGAAAGTCAGCAGTAACAGCCATGAAAACTTTCACTTTCTCCTGCCCCTGCTAAGTAAATGTTGAACAAATCTTTTTTTAATATTGACTCGAATTGGTGCAAATGACTCCCTTTCCTGTGCCGTCTGCCCCTCCTCAACGAGATAATGAACAGGAAGCTTTGGCACAGGGCCTGGTGGCGGTCAGGCACTCAAAAATCAGTAGCTAAATTGGGGCTGAGAATCAGGATTCATGAATGAACCTTCTTCGGTATGAGCAAAAATTGGTTCATTTCTGCAGCTCGGGAAGGGGGGCTCGTGCTGCCTTCCTCTGGCCGTCATCTGTGTTTTGATTTTATTTGAGATCTTTAGAGCTGCTAGAATGTTCTCTGGTGACGATGAGAGCAACGTCAACAGTAATAATAATAGCTGCCACTTTAGGAGGGCTGACTGTGCCGGGGGAGCCATTCTGTGCACTTCTTAGCCCCCGGTGGCCCTGTGAGGCGGCCCTGGTGTCGTCTGCCATTTTACAGCTGAGGCCCTGAGGGCTTAGGGGATTGGCTTTGGGTCGCAGACCTGATGACTGGCAGAGCCCTGTGTCAACCAAGCTCTGGACCCTGAACCCTGTGCAAATACTTGATGGACATCCTTGACTTTACGCAGGTTTCCTCCGAAGGAGACGTTCTGCTGGAGAAGCTTCCGGAAGCTGTGGGGTTCCTGGTGGTCTCTGAAGATGAGTCCCTTCTCGCAGCAGGTAGCGTTTGGCTCTCACTGGGGAGCAGTGAGGAGGCAGCCCGGGGTCTGGTTGGAGGGGGAGAGGGGTCTGGAAAAGGAGGCGTCCTAGACCAGCGGCTGGCGGACTTTCTGCCGAGGGCCGTGGAGCGCTCAGCATTGGCTTTGTGGCTGCCGGTCTCTGGAAGAGACCGCCAACCCTGCCCTTGTCACACGAAAGGCACCGCGGCCGAGATTTCCGGTGGGTGTGGCTGTGTGCCAATAAGCCTTTATGGACACTGAAGTTTGAATTTCATATTTTCACGTGTCATGAAATAGTAATTTTATTTTGAATGTTTGCAAATACTGGAAGATGTGAAAACTCTTCTCAGGTCATGGGCCATATGAAAGTAGGTGGCGGGCCAAGTTTGGCCCGTGGGCCAAGGTTTGCCAACCCCTGTTCTGATCTCCTTACCTTTCTGGGCTTCTGGTTTGTTGTCTCTGAAATGGAAGTGTTTCTCTCTGCCAGACAGTCACAAAGATAGAGGGGGCTGGGCTAGAGAAGGGGCTGCACTCGGGTGAGCCAGCCCCCACAAGTCCTGCTTTTAGGGGCTTCCAGGATAGCAGGAAAGGTGGACAAGTAGGTAGCCAGAAGAAAGAGTGCTTGGTGCCGTGACAAGACAAGAATCAGGGTCTATAGGAGCATGTGACAGGGTTCCCTTCCTTAGCCTAAAGCAATCAGGGAAGGCTTCCCAGCAGTGGTGACCAACAGATGCTCCACAGCCTGATTTTTTTAAAAAAAGACTTTTTAAAAATCAACTTTAGGTTCACAGCCAAATTGAGCAGAAGGTAGAGAGAATTCCAAACCCTCCTGCTCCCACATATGCACAGCCGCCCCCGTTATCAACATCTCCCACCAGAGTGGTGCATTTGTTACAATGAATGACACGTTGACACGTTATCATCACCCAAAGTCCATACTTTACTTTAAGGTTCCCTCTTGGTGGTGTACAGTCTCTGGACTTGGACAAAGGTATAATGGCATGTGTCCATTATTACAGTCTCATGCAGAGTATTCTCGCTGCCCTAAAATCACCCTGATTTTTGCAAAGACATTTCCAGGGGTCAGACACATGGACCAGCACTTTGCAGTAATGCAAGGCACCAATGTGAGCCACACTTATAATTGTGAATGTTCTCATGACTCTATTTAAAATGGTAAACAGAAACAGGTGGCATTCATACTACTAATATATCTTATTTAACCCAGTATATCCAAAAATTCAACATTAAATCAATATAAAAATTTAATTTAATTTTTAAAAATTCTTGTGCAAAGTCTTTGAAATCTGGCATGTATTTTATAGTTATAGCTGTCAACTTAAAAGGTAAATTCACCTGTTATTTTGCCTTCAAAATGAGTTTATTCAGGAATAGCCCAAAGAATTGCAATTGAGGACGTGAATGCTGTGGCCAACCACAGGCAAATCCAGAAAACCAAGGAGGGGGGAGCTGCTTTTATAGGGAAAGTGGGGAGGGGCAGTTCTAAAGGGAAGCCCATTGGGGGAAAGTAGCAGTTCAGGGCGGCAACAGCTTTTCCTTCCCTGGGCTGTGGGGTTTCTCATTGGCTGAGCTCCAGGGTTTCTCATTGGCTGGGCTGCGGCGTTTCTCATTGGCTGGGCTGTGGCGTTTCTCATTGGCTGAGCTGCGGCATTTCTCATTGGCTAGGCTGTGGCGTTTCTCATTGGCTGAGCTACGGCATTTCTCATTGGCTGAGGTGCAGTGTTTCTCATTGGCTAGGCTGCGGCATTTCTCATTGGCTGGGCTGTTGCCAGGTACAGAGAGAAATCTTCCTTTAGTAGTAGTTTTACTTCCTGTCAGAGATGCAGGCACCTGTCTCTTTCTGTTTGGTGTAATTGACTGTGTGTGATGGGGGTGACGCCAGATCCTGGGCGTGGACATGGCACTGCTCGTTAGGCCACATTGAGGTGGCGTCCTACATCCCACAGCTGGAGGGACCTGCAACTAAGATATACAACTATGTACGGGGTGGGGGGAGAGGTTGGGGAGATAAAGCAGAAAAAAAAAGAGATTGGCAACAGCTGTTAGCTCAGGTGCCAATCTTTAGAAAAAAAAGAATTTCAGGTGGCTTAAATATGTGTAAAATGCAGCATGAGAAATATGATGAAAGAAGAAAGAAAAACAAAGGTAGAGGCACAAAATACAATCTGAGGCCAAAAGCATTGAGGACCTCAGTGACCTAGAGACTTGTTGCAGTTGGGTTTCAAGTGTGGCTCTTTCCAGTAGTCAATGAGAAGAAGGAGCCCCGACAGTTTCCCCTTCCATAGTTTTGGGAACCAGCATGTTGCTTAGGAGGTGTACTTTGATCTGACTTAGCTAACATCAGGCAAGGACTTCTTTCAAGTGTTGTAAATAGAATTGTGGTTCAGGGGTCCCCAAGATCACCTTTAGGTTTGAGGATTCACTAGGGCTTACAGAACTCAGGAAAGCTCTCATACTCACAGTTACAGTTCATTGGAGCAAAAGGATACAGATTAGAATCAGCCAAGGGAAGAGGCACAAGGGGCAGAGTCCAGGAGAGACCAGGCAGGAGCTTCGAGGTGTCCCCTCCCTGTGGAGTTATGCGGACAGCACTTACTTCTCCCAGTGACGATGTATGAGCACATGCATGGTGTACTGCCAACCAGGGAAGCTCACCGCAGACTTAGCATCCAGGATTTTTACTGAGGGTTGGTCCTGTAGACTTGGCTGACCACTTGCACAGCTGACCTTAGTCTCCAGCCCCCCTTGAGGTTAAGGTGATACCACCTGTCCCAAAACTTCCCCCATACTTCATACCGTGAGCATAGACCATCCACTGTGGCCCAAGGCCTCAGGTAAACAAAGACACTCTTATCAGGCAGGACATTCTGCGCACTTGGAGGGCACCTCCCAGGCACCCGGCTAGCACCAAACTTTCTATGTGCAGGGTGTGGACAACTCAGGCCTGCTGAGTTAATCTTTTCCTGCATAAGAATGTGACACAAATATCCTTGGACTGGAGACATTTTGGTGCATTTCATCAGTTTCCCATAACATCCTTCCACGTGAGCCTCATATTCAAGTACAACTCAATAAAAGCAGTTCCATGGAGGGTGTAGAGAGGGAATAAGATGGACTCTCAGCCCCCAGCTTCCCACTGACCAGACTTGATCCAGGGATCGTCAGGAGGCTCAATGGAGATGCCTCATGCCGGGGGCACAGCACAGAGGCTCACACTGTAACCCTTCAGTGTGAGACTTAACCTTATAGGAACAGCAGCTAATACTCAGGTGCTTACAACATGTCAGAACCTGTCCTAAGTGATTTACACATGTTCCTTCCTTTACGCCTTGATGGCCCTGGGAGGTAGGTGCTTCCATTATTCTCATTTATATATGAGGAAACTGAGGCACAGAGAAGTTAAGTTGCTTGAGGTTACACAGCTATAAGTGGATGGGCTGGGATTTGAATCCACGGTCAGGTGCAATTCTGTATCCTCAAATACAGTGCCAAATGTCTGTTTATTTACCAATAGTAATTTATTTCTGAACATCTAGAAGAATTGATGGCTGCCTATCTTGTAAGCAGTAATTTCTGTGCAAGAACAGGGTGTCCACTTAAGTGGGGTCCATGCAAACCCATGACTCGCTGAGCAGAGTCATCCCTCTAAAATCAGCTCAAATGTCTTGGGGCTGCTGTAACAAACTACCAAACAAATGTGGTGGCTTTGAACAGCAGGAATTTCTTCTCTCACGGTTCTAGAGGCCGGAAGCCCAAAATCGTGGTGTTGGCAGAGCTATGTTCCCTCCAAAAGCTCTAGAGAAGAGTCCTTTTTTGTGTGTGTGCCTCTTCCAGCTCCTGTCTTGTGATTCCTTGACTTGCGGCCGCATTGCTCCAGTCTGTGCCTCTGTCTTCACATTGCCTTCTCCTCTGTGTGTGTCTCCATCTGCACTCAGTCCCCACACTTCATTGCCCTTATCAAAAATTATAACCATTTTTCTGCCTCACTCGTTGACGTCACCTGCCTGTCCCCTAATGAGTTTGCAGCTCTGCAGCCTAAAATGTGTCTGTCTTCCCTCTGCCTATGAAGCAGGACCCCTCTAAGCCCAGGTGGAAGAGAACAGGCCTGGGACCCCCACTTCACTTTTCTACCTCAAATAAAACAGACCTCCATTCCTCAAAAAAAAATTGTAACCATTTTATTTTCCTTCCTTCCTTCCTTCCATCTTCAAAATATATTTACTCCGTGTCCAGCTTTGTGCTGAGTTCTGGGACCATGAGAAGCCCAAATAGGGCGTCTCAGCTCTTTGGAAGCTCGTGGTCTTGCGGCAGTCAATAACTTTGCTGTTGTCTTCGAGATTCTTTTTTTTTTTTTTAATTTTTTTTTATTGAGTTATTAATAGGTTACAATCTTGTGAAATTTCAATTGTACATTAATGTTTGTCAGTCGTGTTGTAGGTGCACCACTTCACCCTTTGTGCCCACCCCCCACCCCACCTTTCCCCTGGTATCCACTAAACTGTTCTTAGTCCATAATTTTAAATTCCTCATATAAGTGGAGTCATACACAGATTATCTTTCTCTCGCTGGCTTATTTCACTTAACATAATTCTCTCAAGGTCCATCCATGTTATTGCAAATGGAATGATTTTGTTCTGTTTTGCAGCTGAGTAGTATTCCATTGTATATATGTACCACATCTTCTTTATCCATTCATCTGTTGCTGGACACTTAGGTTGCTTCCACGTCTTGGCTATTGTAAACAGTGCTGCAATAAACATTGGGGTGCACAGGACTTTTGGGATTGCTGACTTCAAGCTCTTTGGATAAATACCCAGTAGTGGGATGGCTGGATCGTATGGTAGTTCTATTTTTAGTTTTTTGAGGATGTCTTCGAGATTCTTGATCACTGTTGTCACACGCCCCCAACTGGAGGCTGTGTGAGGGTGGGGGCCATGTCTGGCTTGTTCACCACTGTATTCTTCCCGCTGGCTCACAGTAGATGCTCCAAAAAGAATCTTTGTTGATGGAATTGAATTACTCTCAAGCTCTTCAAAAATGAAGGGCGTAACCCCAGCCCCTGCCGTTTCAGGCTTTGGAAGCTCCGTGCGAATATTCTTGGCTGACTCACAGGGGTTTCATCGATTCATGGCCACCGACCTTGAACATGAGGACACAGTGGAGACAGCCATTTTTGGTCCTGAGAACAATCTCATTGTCACTGGGTCCCGGGACGCACTCATTCAGGTGAGGGGGAGACTCAGGGCCGCCACCCTTACCTCCGCCTCCGCACTAGACAGGATGATTCCTTGGGGATCTTTGGGCTTCAGAATACAGAAACCCACAAACACCAGCGCAGGCAGAACAGGCAGGTCATTGGGAGGCTATGGGGGAGGGGTCTCCTGGGACCCAGTGGCAGACGTC